CCAGGTGCTTCTGTACCTGCCTCCTGCACCCCCATCCCATGCAAGCACAGCTTTTGCTAACTCTCATGTGGCCTTTGGAGCGGGGAGGGCTGGCCTTGCTGCTGTCTGCACACTGGGGGTCTGGCAGGGGGTGTCTGGGGGGGGGCAGCAGCAAGGGTTTCCCTGCCTAAGGGGATATGTCAGCTGCTGCTCCTACAAACGGCGTCACGCAAGTGCCATGGCGAGCAAGCGGGGTGAGGAGGGTTTGTGACGGAGGTAGGCTGGACAGCTGTGTTTGGGGGGTGGGGGAGATAGGGGTGAGCGCTGGCACTTGTGTGGCTGTTTTAACAACCCAGGAAAGTGTGTTTGGGCTAAACCGCAGCCTGTGATGTCTGTTCCCGTTGATGGCAGGTTTTCAACGCCATTGTTGAAATAGGAAAGGAGCAACTTTGCAGAATTTACTTCCAAGCTTCATTGAGAAAGAGGGAGCTTCTTAAATGAGCGGTATGCAATGTTTCCTCTCGGTTGGCATTTTCTGTGGTACTGAACTGTAGCGTGTTTCTTGTGTATCGGCTAATTTGCAAACTCTTCCTGCAGGATGGTTGCCTGGAGTACCCGTTTGTTGCTCTAGTTTTTGCGTGGATCCCCCCTTTAATGCCACTGGGCCAGGTCACTCCATTTCTGATAACGGAGATTGGAATCACCTGGTCATTTTGTATGTTAAGGGCTGGATTTAATGGAGTCCATTTGGCTGTTGGAGGAACGGAAAGGTGTGAAGCTGCCTGAGTGGGAAGTCGCTCGTTCTGGGTACGGTAACGCGTGGTTTATGCTGGTGTGAGTTGCTTGTGTGCACGCTGAAAGCTTTGACTCCGCTTTGATTTGGCTTTCTCAGCATCTGTTCCGTAGGGTGGAACTGGCAGCTGGATTGCTTCCCGCAAGGAATCGGAAACGGCCCTTCTACCTAGGGAGGACGGGATCTGAGGACAGGGTCTATCGGTGCAGGCTGCTTCGCTTCCCTACAGTCGTAGGCTCTGTAGGTCTTGTGCTGCAAATGGGCTTGGAGTGGTTGGCGTTTTAAATGAGCTGTTAAATGTGAACACTGGAAGGCCTTGTTTGATAGAAGGGGGATGGGAGGAAAGAGCCAGTTAAATGGAGACAGGCATGCTCCAGGCAGATCAGTGCTGCTGAAGGGGGAGACTAGTGCTTCTGTCCTTGCCATTGCTCTCAGTGACTACCAATTTTGCCTAGTCAGATTCCTTTTTCTTTTTTTTTCCTGGATCTGGGTTCTGAGATGCAGAGCTGATGCAAGGAAACTTGTTATGACAAGTTTCAAGTGACCACCTCTTCAGCTTTGCTGCTTGATGGCTTTGCTCCTAGGATCAGCTCTTGTCCTGAGCAGGGTGGGGCATTAATATGAAAAATAGGGAACAGCTACATTAAGTTTCATGCTCTGACTCTGGACAGTGATTCTGAGCTTTAGGTGGGTGACTGAAGTTCTTGCAACTATGCTAAATTGTTCTTGTGAGCTAATGCCATTAATCCGGGCCTCCAAAATAGTGATTTTGATAGTCCTCCTGCAAGCCAAGTGGTGTGCTGAGGGGGCAGCTGTGATTCGGAGTGTATTTTTCACCTGTTAAAAATGTTAAGCTTGCCAGGTAAGGTTAATCAGCTAATGCTGCAGTTGTACCATACACCAGCAAAGATCTGTAGCGCTCCGGTGCTCTTCTGTTTTGCCCATTCTGATATCTCAGGTGCCTCCAGATTGTAGGATCTACTGTCTGTCTGTCTGGAACAGCAATCCCGGCAGTAATCTTGCTGATGTTTTAGGGAAGGGGTTTTGTTGGTGTTATTCCCTTTGAATTCAACTTTCTGAATTTACTCCCAAGCTGTTGCATTTCCTTACTAAAAGCTGAGCCGCTCATTCTGTTTCTCTTTTCCTCTCCAGGATGGTGCAATGGATTTACTGAAAGAACTGAAGAGCATGCCTATGACTTTGGACTTGCTGCAGGTGAGTTGCAAAGTTAGGGTAAGAAGCTGAAGTCTGCATCCGGATGAGTTCAAAATGTTGTCTATGTGAACTTACTAGATTTCCTCTCAGTTCTTACCTCACTCAAAGCTTCAAAAAAATCCCATTAAATCCAGAAAATGGTACTGGACCTGGGTTTTGGACTGGGCCACCATGCGCTGCCTGAGACTTGTGTGCAGCTGATGTGGCAGATGTGGGTAACTGCTCAAATCCTTTCTTAGGCTTCAAAAAGAGGAAAGACCAGATTAAAGTAGCAAACACAAAGGGCAGTCATGGGAGAAGTTAAGTCTTTGTAATGGTGATATTCAGGACACTAGGGAGGTGTGAACAGAATTACAATTCAGAGATTAAGAGGGGCATCTTGGATTTTTTCACTCTAAGCTTGAATATCGCTTACAGGTGTGCAGAGAAGGTATTTATGGGTGATTGGATGTCCAACTTCTGCTGGGTTTGAGTAAGCTGGAGAGTGTCATCTTGCTCTTCCAAAGCTGTAAGGAGATAATAATTCTGCAGGTCCTCAGATACTTCATATCTCGGTCATTGCTTTGACTTCATCATGCTTATTTCTGATTTCAGTTAGTAACAAATAACGAGTCTGTTCCTGAATGATTCATTTGAATGTTCTCTTGCAGTCCACCCGCATTGGGATGTCAGTAAATGCACTGAGAAAGCAGAGCACAGATGAAGAAGTGATATCGCTTGCCAAATCCCTCATCAAATCTTGGAAAAAACTTCTAGGTAAGAAAATCAGCATGTTCCTGTCAGATTCAACTTGTGCAGGAGCTGGCTTCAGCGGGCGGTTGGCTTTCTCAGGAGAGCTTATCTATTGATCTGAATAGAATATTCTAGCAAATCAGCCTTTCACAGTTGCACCCTCTGTCTTTCAAGTTTTGTCTCCTACCGTGCATTCCTCCAGATTCAGCTCCTGTTTAGCTATAGCTCATCTTTGAAGGAGCATTGAAAGCTTCAGGCCTATTCTTAATGTTCACCTGTCCATATAATAATTAGGAGCATTATTTGTGGAAACAATATCTGCACTCTGAACCCTCCACCCCCACTTGTGTGCTCGTGGCATTATACAGCGTGTGTTGTCAACCTTGTGCAACGGCTTGCAAAGAGAAATGCTGGAATGCGTTTTGGTTGACGACGAGTTGGGGAAGGACCTCAGTTTCACACCTTGTAGACAAATTCACATGGACTGTTTCCTGCGGGGTAGGCTTTCATGGTGACGGATGCTGATAAGCAGAAGCTTGTAATTCTGTCTGAGAAGTCTTAATGCTGATATAGCACAGGCTAATGTCAAAATTGTGGACGGAGGGATTACAAATGCGGTTTTAGTGGTTACCTTTGAGATAAAAGAATTCTGCATCTGCAGCACTGAGATTGGAAGGGCAGCTCTACCGGTGTCCTAGCAAGACCCTGTGTCTTCCACTCTATGCTAGTGGCAAATTCACACTCCCCTGTGTGCAATTCAAACACTCCTTGTTTTTTAAACAGATTTTTTTGGGGCAGCTGTGTGTAAAATAGTGATGTGGTGTTTGAGGCGAAGTGAATTGTGCAGCTGGCTTTAACCTGGACCCCAGGGCTCCCCATTTCTTGGTAGGCTAAATGAGCATTGGAAGCACTGTTCTCCTGTCCTGGCTGGGACTGTCACTAGGCTGAGACAGTTTACTTCTGGGTCAAACTTGTTCTACAGCGTAAGGAAAGTCCTCTCCGGGGCTGTGCTATTGACTTTCAACAGCACTTGGGAAACACTAGGAGCTGTGTTCTTGGAAGGGCTAGCCCCTACTGGCCCTTCGGGTGGTGTTGGCTGAAATGCTGCTTTTAGTGGTGCTTTAGAGAACTTGATCTAATCTGTACTCAGCAGCCAGGGTGTCTCTGAAAGAAACTTTTGTGATGAGGCATGTCTTGTAGGGAAGCTTATCTCCTAGGCAGGGAAGGAGATTGCTCTTCAGTTTGGTGAGGAAAAGCTTTTCTTTGAATTAGTTTCTACTTAGAGGCAAGCAAAAGGTCTGTCGGAAAGCATGGAAGGCTGTAAAGGCGTTCTTCCTCCTGATTGTTTTTGGGGAATAGTAACTTGCCTTAGGCCAGCAGCGTGTAGTGTTAAGACGTGGATTAGAGTATGCAGGGTTGTAGCATAAAGATCAGTTCTGAACCCTTTGGCGTCTGTTTCTCTTCTGAATATAGATGCTTCTGAGGAGAAAAGTGAGGAGAAGAAGAAAAGCCTGTCCTTGCCAACATCTTCCTCGAAGGAGACTGGTAACTCAAGAGACCAAAGGTAATGTTTCCCTTTAACCAAAGACGATACTCGTACAGAATTTGAGTTTTCTTATGGTGCCATACATTAATTTTTATTCTTACACGTTTGAGTTGTGAATTCCTGGTCAGAAACACCAGGAGTCTGGATTTCTTCAGAGGTGATCTGTGTGGTGTTTTTAATAAACTAACACAGAACTAAATGTCTACAAAATACAGTGGCTTTAGTGAGTGTTTTGATTTTAGTCACATCTTATCTCATGTTTTTCTACTTTATGTGTTGATTTTTCCATTAGTAAAACATGTCTCTGTTCTTCTTTTGTGTTGCATTTTTGTATATTTTGCTTATTTCTAACTTTGAACTCCTTAGAAGATTATTTTTGGCCTTTGCAAGTTCAAGTGATGGATGGGATAGATGGGCTGTTCCTGATGGGGAAAGGAGAAGGCAGGTATTACTGACTTGGCTGGTACTGCTCAAGCCAGGAGGTAGTACTAGGGTTCAGAGAAAAAGGGAAGCTTCTGATTTAACCTTTGGAAAATTGACCTTGGGGAATGCTGAGCCTGGAGGGAAGGAAGTGTGAGATTTTCCCTGGGCACAGTGGCAGTAGACGCTCCATGAGCAAAATGAGCTGGGCCTGCTAGGACATCTGGCTTGAAGGCTAAGCCTTGTAGTAATTTTACTCAGAATAGGATCCTGGCTGTAGGTAGGGGCAAAACCCTACTGCCTCCGTGCTTTTTCAGACAGTTATCACGGGGTATGTGAAGTGGAGCTTTCTGGCTTGTGCTACTGCCCCTCCCCTGTGCCTTGAGGATGGGCTGCAGCTACTGCAGGTTTGGTTTTTTCCCCTCTGATGCTTTCTATGTGTATTCAGCCTCCATCTTCTGAATGGCAAGGCATCCCCTTGGTTGTGCAGGATAAACAGAAGCAAATGGATTAGCTTAGCATAGGCAGGCAGAAGTGGTAGCTCCTGGTGTCAGTCTGTTAGGCCAGGCTCTCTTTACAGAGACAGGAATGCTTATTCTCCAGTGCTGCAAAATAAATTACTGGTCTGCCTTGACAAAAAAAAATACTAGCAGCAAAGAGTCTTTGTTCTTTGAAGCAGAGGCCGTGATGAAGGGAGTCTGAGTAGTTGCTCAGTGTGTGAGTGCTGGTTCAGATGAGGCTGCTGTCAAGACACCAAAGAGATCAGCTTGTATTCAGATATTTCAGCCACTTAATCTGATAGATTTTGGCTAGGCCTTCCTCTTCTGTCAGGGAGAAATACTTGAACAGCTCTTGGCCTGAAACTTGCCTTGCTTCCTGGAGCACAGATGTAGAAATCCCTCTGTAGTGACTAGAGAGCTAGAGCACTGCAAGACCTGCAGGCTCCGAGCCAGCCCGCGTGGAGCTGGCACCTGCGAAGTTATATGCTGCAGTACTGTAATCCAAAGCCTATTCTGTTGTGCTGTAGTATTTTCGACCACTGGTGTAGTGCACTTTAATGGGCTATGTCTAATGTTTCTCTGTCTCTGGCAGCATGAGCTTTTTCTTCTCCAGGATTCTCCAAACTGCCTTTATTAGGAGGTTTTGGATCTCTGGCCCGAATTCAGCTCTTCTGTGGGATTCTCTTCCAGTGCAGCCCTGAGTTCTGCCTGCAGTTCCTGGCTGTTGCTTTGCCACCATTTTGTTCCAGCATAGCCTTTTTCATGTACAAACTGTTGCTGCCTGGATAGATTTACAAGTTCTTTCTCCTGTTTAACAGGAACAGTGTGAACCACAAGGATTTCCTGAAATAAGTCTTCTAGGTGTGTTTGAGGTTGATTTCCCAACTATTCTAATTATAAACTAACTTCTAAAGCTTGATAAATAACTTTCTCCACAGTCTTTGGAATGGCTGAGAAGTCAGTTTTATCTAATTTGTGAGCGATCTGTTGTCATCTCAGGGCATGAATGACATGTTATGTGTATGTAGGCGAATATGCCTTTACTCATCAGCTAACAGGAGTGGGATAACCATGCATCTTGTCTAGCTTTTTTCCCCCACCTCCAGGAAATAAACATCTAAATATTTAAGACAATAGCATTTATAGATAGAACCTTCCTGAAAATTAAGTATTACTTGTGCAAATACTAGTTTAAAGACCTGCCTTGAAGTACTGAATGTGGGGAAGGTCAGTGTTGAAGAGTTCACAGGCAGTGTCTTGCTGTGGGAGACCTTAGTGTCACTGTTGCTTGCAACATGAGACAAAAGTTAAGCTAGAAGAGCTCTCGGGGAAAGCTGCTCCTGCCACCCTTTCCCAGGACAGCCCGGCCTCTGCCCAGGCTGTCCCTGGCAGGCCTTTCTCTAAGCTCTTCTTTGACAATCCTAAAAAAAAGCCTCAGGCTAAAACATTTCCACAGCTGCCCGTGGCAGTATCTTCTAATTTCTAGCTCACCTTTATAGTTTGAAACTTATTCTCAGTCAAAACCTAGCTTGCCTAAGACCACTTCTTCATGCTTTTGTATTCAGCAAGTACAGAGGATTTCTCCTGCTGTCCTCCTTTGTACCAAGTTTTCCAGTATTTCAGGACTTGTCTCCTCTACGTCTTCTCTGCTGCAAACCACTCCCAATTCCTCCAGGCTTTCCTTTTATTGTAGGTATGTTTTCTAGGCTTTTTTTTTTGTCTTTGTCCTTTGGGAAGTCTTATTTTTCCAAATTTTTTTATGCAACACACTCAGCTGTGATTTTTAGATGAGTTATTCCTGAGTTGTCTATGCTTTGCTATATGCACCCCCATGCGTGCTGCCTGTGATCTGTGCGTAGCTGCTTAAGCACAAAAGCACCTCATGGCAATTTGTGCATCCCGGGTGGAAGAAGATCATCATCTAATTGATTATTTGCAAGCTAAGTTGTTTTTCTCTTTGTGATATGTGCAGTGTAAATCCTTTTGAATGTTTTGAGCTGTTTGGACACAGATCTGCTCCTTAATAGCCTCCTGCAGTGCTGGCCGGTAAAAGTAGCTGGCAAAAAGTGGCTTGTTGGCATTTTATTTTTGGTATTGGTCAGAGAAAGACAGTAAGCTCACAATATAAGCTCCCTCGTAGAGTGTATCTATTTCATCTGAGCAAGAAATTAATCTTCCACTATGGTTTGAGCTGAATGATTTGCTGAAGGTGCACTGGTGGATGTTTCTTAAAAGGGCCCGGTGAGGTTTTGAACTGTGGAAATCCAGTAGCCCTAATGATGATCTGCAGGCTTTGAGGCACTGTAGAGCCAGCCTGGATTTGAACTTAGCAGCAGCAGGGTCTCCCAGGATAAGTCCCTGAAGTCGCCTGGCTCAGTTCGTGCAGCACCAGATTCGGAAGGTTGCCAGCTTCGCGCTGTTTTGCTATGGGCTGACTAATCCCTCCCAGGACAGAGGAGTGGAAGTGCCTGTTCGTAACAGATTTATTTTTGATGGCAAAGAACAGGCAGTAGTGACCCAGCTTAACAGCAATCGTCAAGCCACTTGGATCTTGAAGGAGATGTCGCCAGTATGGCATGAGTGAAATATCAGGGTTTCTCTTTTTTTTTTTTCTCCCTTTGTCTCTTAATGCATGAATGTTACCAGGCATTGGCCATAAATACAGTGCATTTTATGGCCCTAACACCAAAGTCAGAGCAATCTCTGCTGAAAAAATTGCTGTTCTGCTGCCTAGATTTAAGGGGGCTGGGGGAAAGTTGTATAAAATCATCTGGGAATCATAACAGCCCAAATCTTTTACCAGTAGTATTTGCAGGGTTCGCTAACTCTCTGCGCAGATGTTAGGCTTTATGGGCAAGATGTCTCAACACCGTGGGAGTGCGCCCAGCTGAACTGCTCCGTGAAGTTACTGCTCCGGCATGCAAACCTCGCAGCGGTGAGCTCAGCCCGTGTGGCGATTCCTCCTGCCCTGCATCACGCAGGCAGGTCCGGGTGGCAATTCCATGCCTTCAGCTCCCCTGGAGGATGCCCTGACTGAGGCAGCCACAGCAGGCAGGTGTTGGCTTTCCCTTGCCTGTGCCTATGATTGCCTGCAGGTGGAAATGAAGTTATTTTTGTGAGTGAAGCAGTATTTTAGTCCTGCGCAAGCCGTGTGTGGTTGTGTAGGGGTGTTCTTCTGTGAGATGAGTAATCGGAGAGTCTTGTCCAGATTACAGGAAAAAGGAAGATCCTCTGATGTGTTACACTTTTTTTTTTAATATCAGAGCTGAAGGAGCCATTTTCTTTCTTTTCCTTAGCACCGCAGCTTCTGGAGGGGCTAGCACAGGCTTCTCTGATTTCTGCCCCAGAAGGCAGCATGCTGCACTCCTTGTCAGCTAACAGAGAGCTAAAGCATTTTTTTTTTGTTTAGCTGTTCTCTTTCCTGCTGCTGACATCTTGGTAGTCAAGGATGTGAGACGAGGAACCAGCTCCAGCACCTGCTGAGATTAACCTTGCCCGGTGCCTTCTGCTCCCTTTCTGCTGGGAACAGCTATGGACTTTGTGTCCTGCAAAGTGGGAGGAATCAAGCACCGTGCATCCGTGTGCTCCGCTACCAGACTGAGAGTGCCGATGGTCTTGGGAAGCCCCCAGTATATTGAGTTATCGATGGTGTCTGGCAGCTTCGTAATGTTTTCCACGTGATGCCCAGTGGTGCAGCGGTTGTGATAAGTGTTTGGTAACAAGAGTTGGTTGGCAGGCCTTGCTCCGTGGATTAAAGACTCCATTTACAGCCAGCAGAGTCCACAGGGGAGCTCGTATCTGGGTCGATGGCGTTGGTTGCTCTATCGCGCTGTATGCTGATGCGGGGCACGTGTCTTTGCACTGTTTTCCTCTGACTGGTTTTGTGTTACAATTAACAGGATGCTTGGCCACATACCTGCTGATCCCTTCTCTGCTCTCAGTGACCCAAACTGAGACATTCTGACAGGTGAAGTTTCTCTTTTAGCTCCAACAAAAGGCAGGAGCCTCCGAAGACTCCGACCACCCCCAAAATCACCACCTTCCCTCCAGCGCCCGTCACCTGCGATGCTGTCCGCAATAAATGCAGAGAAATGCTGACAACGGCTCTACAGGCTGATGGTAAGTGCTAGGGGAAACCCTGCATTGCCTGAAGTGCTTCAGAGCTCCGGGTGCCTTCTGATGGAGACCCCTGCACGTAGATCATAGAATCGTTTAGGTTGGAAAAGCCCTTTAAGATCACCCAGCCCAACCATTCCCCTAACCCTGCCATCCCACCACTAAACCCTGTCCCTAAGCACCTTGTCTGCCTAGCTTTTAAACCCCTCCAGGGATGGGGACTCAACACCTCTCTGGGCAGCCCCTTCCAGTGCTTGACAAACCTTTCGGTGAAGAAATTTTTCCTCATGTCCAAGGTCAACACCAGTTCCTCTTAGATCGGCTCTTCTGGAGCAGCCTTGTCAAGGATTATTGCCACTGGCTCGGTCTGGCCACAGGTCACTTCTTTGTTGGGCTGGCTGGTGTGGCAGCGTTTATAGATGTGTGTCTGTAAACCTGGCTTGAACCAGAGGCATGGCAGTGTGTCAGGCAATGGCTGTTAAGAACGTGGGGTCTTCTGCTCTGCAGCCTGGGGTGGTCTGGCCAGAAGTTTCATCTTGAGGTGTGCAAGTATTTGCTTCCCTTTCTAAATCCCAGTCTTGTCTGATTGCTGTCAAGTGAAGCTGTCATATCTGCTTACCCTTGGGGCACAAAGTGAAGCTGTAACTCAATACGTGGAATTTGTCGGTCATGGTGCTTATGCCATCTCCATCTGCTCTTGGATTCCCCTCCCCGTGCAAACTGCAGCCCCTTAAATACTGTGGTCCTCTGCAGACCTGGGGTGGAGTAGGTCTCCCTTGCACTCGGGCTGTGCCAGCCGAAATGAGAGGCAACTGCAGGGGCTCAGCATCTCCGAAAGTCAGATTTTTAAACACCTCAAGCTGAACACATGCTTGTGTCCAAATGGCAGATCCCTTTAGAAAATTGGGGTCTAAGCACCACAGAGCTTTATTAATTTGGAGCCAAGGAATGTAGGCAGCAGATGGAGAAGTTCACGAAGTCTTTATTTCTAGCCTTCCTGTGTGTGCGCGTGTGTTTATGTATAATGCTGCATTAAATACTTTGTATAACTCTTAAAAACCCTTCCCATATGAAGGCTGGGAAATAGTCCCCTCGAGTCGCTTGCTAAGCTCATCCCTGTTCCCTGCTTTGTGGCATTGGTTACCGTCCCCAGCGCCCAAGCTCGTAGCAGTTACTGCACTGGCTGTGGTGCTGTTTAACTGGCAAGAGGTGAGTGGAAGAAAGGGGGGGAGCAGACAGTTCTGAGCTGAGAAAAGAAATGAAGGCTCGACTCCGATGCTGCGTGCTCCGATGCTGTTGGTCTGAGCAGAGCTACTTCTCGTTGACACCAATATCTGGTGAGACTCAATTCCTGCCTGTATATGTTTGATTTCAACTATACCAAGAATATATTGGCAAACCGCATCTTTGGGCAGCCAGGTTCTTGTTAGCTTTGTCTGGTGCAGTCTGTCTGCCAGAGAGGCAGAGGGCATAGACTGCCTGGGTTGGTCTGTTTTCGTCACTGCCCTTTTCCAAAGGGTTAAAGGGCAGCTAGAGCAAAGGCCAAGATGCCATTTGATGGAGCATGTAAATCAAAATAGCAAATTATCTCCATTTGTATCTCAGAAATACCAAGCCTGGGGACCCCTTGCCTGGTTGCAAGTCGTTGACCTCCTGTTTCTCTTGTCTTACAGACGACTATATCGCCATTGGCGCTGACTGTGAGCACATAGCAGCCCAGATTGAAGAATATATCCTTGCAGTACGGGGTGTCCTCGAGGGCCTGCATGCCTCCGTGGCACTAATGTGCTCGGAGGGAAAATGCGACAGTCTGTCTTTGCTTAAATCTGCTGCTGCAGCTCTGAGTCTGGTTCCAGCTCTGCTTGGCTGAGTCCTGGGTCACGAATGAACCACCAGTGTGGCGTTGGGAGCTCAGGGCAGACCCCGGGCTGGTGTGATGGACATGGTTATTTCCTTCCTGTTTGCACTATAATGGACTGCAATCCCCAGTTTCTTCTTCCCATAAAAAAATGCTATTTCCTGCTCTCAGCTCTGCTTCCAAATACATGCAACCTCCCTGTTGAGGAGAGTGTGCCAATATAGGCAAAAGCAATGGGAAAGACGGAGCAATGAGGTTCAAGCTGCATGCCGATTTGAGATAAGCCAGGCTTTTGCTTGGTTTGGGGGCTGTGGGGCAGGAGGTGCAGCTGGGCTCTCTTAGGGGAGGGTTTTATGGCTACCTTGCTGAGAGAAAGAGCAGGTGGAAGAACCTGAGCATAATAAAGATTACTTCCTAAAATAAAGATTATTTCCGGCATGGTGAAAAAGCCAGAACTGAAATCCCCTGAACTCTGGGATTGTGTAAGCCTGCTCTCAAATCCAGCATTAACCTCCCAGAGCAGACACTGCGTTGGGTCCCAGCACCCTCCTCTGTCTCCTGGTGGCCAGTAACGCTCCCCACTGTTCACGAGCGGTGTAGAAAGTGCTCGGAGGCCTCTGGGTTGATTGCAGACTCCTTGACTGCCCTGTACGCATCTACCAAGATGTCAAGAACACCGACATGAAATACAAAAACCGAGTGAGGAGCCGCATCTCGAACCTGAAGGACTCCAAAAACCCTGAGCTGAAGAAGAACGTGCTGTGTGGGGCGATTACGCCCGAGCAGATCGCGGTGATGACCTCGGAGGTGAGGAAGCACGAGGAACAGGCTTTGCTTCTTGCAAGGGACGCGTCCCGTGGTTTAGCTGGAAGCAAGGGGCTGGTCTGCTGCCAGGGTTGCAGATTTCTCAGCAGTCTGGGGAGTGAGCTAGCGATGGGGTTTGCAGTGGTGGAGGCCTTCAGATCATCACGGGGGGCCTAGATATGAACCACAAACCAGAAATGAAAGTCTTGTCTGTCTTAATACCCATCTGTTAGGCCATCCTGTCCTGTTCGACTCTCCACTGTAGTGGGTGTGGTGGTAAAACCAGAGAGATGTGATTTTATTGCTTTTTTTTTTTTTTTTTGGAAAGGAAATGGCCAGTAACGAGCTGAAAGAGATCAGGAAAGCCATGACGAAAGAAGCAATCCGGGAGCATCAGATGGCCAAGACGGGAGGGACGCAGACCGACCTCTTCACCTGTGGGAAATGCAAGAAGAAGAACTGCACCTACACCCAGGTTAGTGTTCTGCTCCCCCAGCCTCCGCGCCTTGGATCTCTGCGCAGGATGTGATCCATCAGGGTGGTGAGCTCTTACTGCTCCCTGACAGACCCTGCAGCACGGCACAAATTTTGCCACTGGTGGAGAGGACGTTTTTGTACACTTGAGGCTCTCTAAAATGTGCTGCTTTCGCACACGGATTTTGCACGCGTTTCCCTGGAGCTCCTGTAGCTTTTTTTGGCTCGGTTGTACAAGAGCAGGGGTTGTACAGCACCAAGGAAGCTTTCAAAAGTACAGCGGTGCCGCTTGCTGCGCAGCTCGGGAGGGCCGCACGTTGAAAGCGGGTGCTGGGAACGTGGAGATTCAGACAAGCAAGGAGTGGGTAGTGTAGAGGAGAGAGACTGCAGAAACCGAGGCAGGCACGTTGATGGTATTAAAAGTGCAAATTAAGAATGTAGATAAGCTGCGGCTGGACAAATCCCAACTGATTTAAAATCAAACAACATGAAACAGGTGAAACGTAAGGAATAACAAAGCCGTAATGTGAGCAGGCAGAGGGGATTTTTTTTCTCCTCAATGGACAGCTGCTGGAAGCCTTGTGCATTACCAGTGCTTTTCAGTTCCCATGTTTGTGCCAGGCATCTGGAGATAAATGTGCCTTTGCTGTGAGTCAGTGTTTTAGAATGTGCAGATACCCAAAAATGCACCAGCAGCCACGCGATTGCTACTGAGTGGGTGCACACAAACAGCGTGTGCAAGTGCCGAGTGCGGCTCCTTCGTATGCTTGGACGTGATGTGCAAATGCAGATGAGAGCCAGGGAGCCGAGCAGGGATTTTCCTTTGGCTCAGCAGCAGCCTTGCATCCCGCAGGCTGGCTCAGGCGAGAGGCCCGGCTCTGCGAGCGCCTCCCAGTAAGTCAGCTGGAAGCAAAGCACTGCCTCGGCTCCCGCTCGCCCCAGCGGCACCTGGGGCTCTGTCTCCACCTGTAGTGGTCTGGAGTCTGCCTGGGATTGGGACAGTGTCTTCTAAATGGAAATATCAGAAGGTTTTCTGTATTTTTATTAGTTTTCCAGTGAAATTGCTATTTGGTGACTGAGATGCTGTAAGTTCCAAGTAGATGAACTGGCATTTATGAAGGCATTTGAAACCAGGCAGTGATGTTGGGTGAGAACTAGAATTTAGCTACCCAGCATGCTTGCGAAACATGCTTAATTTGCATTGTGCACATACCACGACTCTTGCATATTGGTTAATTACACACATAGATCACCGTAATTACCCCACGACATAGTTCTGCTGTCTGACTTGTGCAGGGAGTGCTAGTATTTTCAGCGTAGATCTGCTTTGTGGTATTCAAATGCCATGAAAATCTGATTTTTAGCAAAGTATGTGTTTCTGGCAGGAGCCAGCCAGAGGCAGCAGTCACATCTGGGTTAAATATCGGAGTTCCTTGATGGCTCGAAGACAGAACAGACTGGAAATGTGCAAACCTGGTAACCCACAGTATGTTCCTGTGAGGCCAGGACGTGGGACTCATCTGTAGATGGGAAAGGCTTGAGTGGGTTCTTTTTTTACGTGGAGCACGTTCTTGATGGACTGAGGGGTTTGTTGTCCCGCTGCCGGCTGCGTCCCTTCCCAGGGGACAGTACGGGGAGGGACCGGCTGTGGGCACGTCCACCTCCAGAGCCACCCACAAGGAGTGGGCAGCAGAGGGGGGTGAGGAGGGAAATCTGCTGCCCCAAAATGTGTTGCTCTGGTAGTGTCAGCTAGGGAGGGGTCATGAGATGTGTGCAGGGGTGTGTATCTGTGTAAAACAATATCCAGACTCGTTTTACGGGGATGCTCCTTTTGCCCTCCCAAGCCTCGGTCTCTCATAGATTTCTGACAGTGTCACCCCAGCATGGATCCCTGGTGGCTGGACAGGGGAGGGACAAGGAGCTCCCCATGGGACCACGTGTGATGCTTGGCTCTCACTTCCCTCCTGTCCTCCCCCAGGTGCAGACCCGCAGCTCCGACGAGCCCATGACCACCTTCGTCGTGTGCAACGAGTGTGGGAATCGCTGGAAGGTAGCACACCAAGGATATTACTGGCACTGAGGGGTGTTAGGGTGGCTGCACCCACGATGCTGCAGACGCTTAGCGGCTGCCCTCAGAGGTGCTTGCCAAACACTGACTGCCTCTAGCAAGTGATCTTTCCTCCCAGCACAGAGGCAGGAGCTCCCAGGTTCATCCCATCTCTGCAGACCAGTTGGGGTCCAAGTCTCACTCTCGCATTCCCTGCCTCCCTCCTCACATCCCCTCTTCTGCCATGTCCAGCTTCACGGTGCCTTCCATGCTCCCTCTGCCCCCTGAGAGATGGTGGTGAGGACGTTCAGGATTTGAGAACTCCTCTCTTATACCAGGCGCAGAGCTCGGGGGTGAGCAGAGATCTCCCGGGGTATGGCGAGCAGAAAGGGCACCGCTACCAAGTGCCAAAGAGCCACAGCCGAGAGATTCAAACGGGAGCTCTGTCTGACCCCTCATCCAGGGCTGAGCCCTGCCTCTGCCGAATCCCCCAGCCCTTGCCAGCTTCACAAACAAGACCATCACCTGGATCCCTATCTTCTAGGCAGCACGCGCATGACCCGCCCGCTCCCCTTGGCAGCGAGGTTTTTCTAATCGGGGTTTAAACTCCCTTCTTTTGCAGTTCTGCTGATATGTGCCATGGCCCGAGAGCGGCAGCCAAACGCAGATCAGAGCGCAACCTCCATATCGCCGGCTCCCACGGCAATTGTGTATTGTGTCCCGAGTGAGTTTGCATTGTCACGCGCTGAGAGAGCAGCCGCGGGGAGGCCTGCCTCTCCGGTGGAGAGCCACAGCTGTGGGCTGACAGGTTGGCAGGAGAGCTCACTAAACACACTTAGTCGTTACTTTCTCATCTACGCAAGTACGGTCACTTTTTCTTCAAAACTAATATTAAACATTTTTTTGTCAGTTTCTGACTTTTATTTGAACTCCGCGTGTGCAGCGCTTTCCTTTTGCGGCGTGGAACCGCGTGGGAGCTTGACAGACGGTCAGTGTCCAGATGGATGAGGACTGAACGCTGCCTGGACCACCAGAAAGCGAGAAGCCGCTTGTAGGCGAACCCTCAGGGCGCGGAGGCTGCTTCCCAGCCAGCTCCTGAAACCCAAAACACTGGGCCAGGTCCTGGGGTGGCCGGGTGGGCAGTGTGGGTCTTCCTCTCCTGACTGTTGATGGAACACAGCTTCTGGGGCACACTCATCTTGCGCTGTCTGGGTTGTAACAGACTGAAAGCGGGGTGACACCAGCCCCAAAACAACAACCCGAAGGGTTGATGTGGGGGAGCAGGACAGGGAGGAAGGTGTGCTAGGCCCAGGTGAGGTTAATCTTGATATAGGGAGAAGCCATCAATAAAGGTGGTGGAGGGAATCCACTGGCCAGTGGGAGCGTTAAAGGAGTCCAGGGCCCGTTCCTGCTCGTGTATGCTCTGCTCTCAGCTGGATGGCTGAAAGGCAGCCCGAATTGTCAGAGGGACTCGCTGGAGAGGCTCAGGAGGAGAGGAAATGCTGCAAATACAAGAGGTTTTCCAGAGGCTTGGACCTGGAGGAGGTGGGGGTGACTGGTATCGGCGGGAGCTGTTAGCACTGAGCTCTAGAGACGGCTGAGGTTTGAAGCGAGCTCGGAGCTTGTGCTTGGGAGGGGCGAGATGAAGAAAGGAGCTGGTAGGGAAGCAAGCCTTGGGTGCCAGGTCTGCAAGTACGACCCTGTGAGGGGGACCTGCTGGATCTGGCTCTTCCTGGGAGGTAACTAGAACCTGGTGGGGGAATTCTGTCTGCCCTCACAACAGCTTTCAGCCCGAGGCGTAAAAGCTCCTTTTCCTAGGCTCTAACTGGGGTGACACAGGGTTTGGGGACCCCAGTGAGGCCTCTGAGCTTGAGGCTGCTCAGGAGCAGTCCTGTGCGCTGCAGCTCTCAGCAAGCAGTGCAGGAGCACTTGCAGTCACATCTCTCATGGCATTGCTCCCCTTCCAGAGTGAAAAACAAGTATTGCCACTGGCTTCCCAGCGTGCCGGGCGGCAGATGTTCAACAGCGACCTTGGAGATGTTTAGAGAGGAGTAAGCAGCCACATGAAAGCAGTGGAAAATGAGCTCGGAGCCCCTTTGAGGGCTGTGCTGCTCTGGAGGCAGGAGGATCCCAACAGGATCCTTCGCTCAGGGCTTTCACTTTATGGGGTGCAGCCAAGTCTCCCAAGAAGGAAAAGATTCAAAGACGCTGACAACTCATTTAAGCCCCGTGAGTCTTGCAGCAAGTGGGATTATTCCAGCCAGGCTTCAGAGGGAACAGTGTCCTCGCAGTAGTGCTTAAAAAAAAGCTTCAGGATCTGAAACCAAAGCTGGCCAAGGCACTCTGGCTCGTGCACTGTGAACAGGAGCCAGCTCGTTGCTCGTGCCTTTCCTCTGTTACTGTAAGGAGGGGAGTTGGGCTTGGGTACAGCTGGATCCATCCTGGATTGGGTAGGGGGGTCCTGAGCAGAAGGAGCCCCTCAAACCGAGGGAAGGGTACCACATTTGCTGTGCTATTTTCTGGGCTAACTGCAGGGAGAGCCAGCGAGGGGGAAAGCCACTGGATAAAGAGGTGTCTCAGAGTAAAGATTCACTTATAAGGTGTTTAGAAGTGCCAGGTTTAGGAGCAGGAGAATAGATTAATGGGTGGCAGCGGGGTCTGCCCTGGGCTGCGACCTTCAGGGCGTGCAGAGAGGCTCTGACCCCCCTGCCCCCTCCTGAGGGATTTTGGGGATGCTCACCCTCCGGCTAAGGCCCTGGGAGAGGTTTCTTTTACTCACAGAGCAAACCAAGCTCCCAGAACCAAACCCTCCCCAGCGGAGGGTGGGGATGCTCTGCTCTCCCTCAGAAATACATTCTCTTGAACTGTTGTTTCCAGCTTTGCAAACAAAACTAAATTTACCGACATGAATTTCCACACAGTTGTGCCACTAGAAAGCAAGCAAACAAACAAAAAAAAAAACCTGAGAGAATTTTTTTGTTTGTTTAAAAAAATGTTTTCAATAAAAAGAGCTTGTGCTTGCTGCTTTTTTTTTCTCCTTTGGGAGGGAGGGGAGGAGGAGGAGGGAAAGGGGTGGATGAACAGGAAGCCACAGGCAGAGCAGGGTTGGTTTCTGCTGCAGGAGCCCGGCCCTGGCTTCGTGTCAGCACGGAGGGCAGGGGCTGCTGGCAGAAATGTTAATTCTGGGTGCAGGGGCTCCAGGATACCATTCCTCACGCCATACAAAAATCCACAGATGTTCTGTCTCTTCCCTGCACTGTTTCCCATCCCAGGTGGAGCCTGCTTGGTACCAAGCTATTCCCAAGGGATGAGGACAGACCCTGGGGCTTCTCCCCACTGGCAGGGGGAGCCTTTGCTTTTAGGGGTCCCCATGCCTGTGGGTTTCTCAGGAGGGTAAATAATACCTGTGCCATCAGCGGGTGTCTTTTCCCCTTCACCGAGGTCTGTGAAGCGAGGGGGCAGGATGCTCTGGGTTTGGGGTGACAGGCAGGTGGCATCCCAGGGCTGGAGTGGGGCTGCACGATGGGGACTGGGCACTGCGGGCTGGCAGCACCCACCCACCCTCTGCTGCCCAGGTCCCCTCTGGCCCCTCCAGAGCCCCACAGGCAGCTTTGGAGATGGCAGGGGGGCATGGCCCCAGGGTGCTGCCCACCCTCTGCCTCCGTCCAGCCCCCCCAATCTGCCAGGAATGCAAACGGGGCTGCAGCGCTGCCCCCCGCCACCGTGGGCCACTTCAAACAGACGGAGCAATGTAAACCTGACAAGTTTTTATATGTACAGAGACGCTTGTCAAACCCCACCTCCCACCCCTCGAGTCCCCCAATAAAAGCCAACAAAAAAAGCATTTAAAATAAAAAGTTAAAAAAAAACAAAAACAAAAAAACCCAACAACACTTGACCTCTCCCCCCACCCCAAAAAACCCCCCAACCCAGTCCACAACTGGGTCTCAGGTGGGAAATGGGGACGTGCCGTGTCCCCACGTGTGGCGGAGAGGGGATAAAGTGACCTCTTCAAATCGGGGTGCGGGCGGAGCTGGGGAGGGGGAGCCAGGCCCCGGCCGCTCTCCCCC